CGAAACTTCCGTAATTCCATGAAACTAAAAAAAGCATGAAACGGAAACTTTTCATGGACTGTGCTTCACGGGTCGAGTCTCTTACTTTAAATCTTTGAACACTCAGTTTGAATCGAAATTTAAGATAACAAAAAAGTCTCCTCTCGCTTTATGTATGTAATCCAATAATCACGCATCACTTTATAATAGAAGCGAGAAAGTAATTTGCCGTGTGAAAATTCATGAAGCATAATCAAAGGTCCAATAGAATCTGAAATTTCACTTAAAATCGCATGCACAGTCAAACCTCTTTAGTAAACTAACCTCTGTGGTGATCGGTGTTTAAAAGCTCCCAACTAAGAAAATACATCCTCTTTAGCAACCGGTTTTTGTCGGTTTCCTTTGATAGTTTACTAAAGAGGTTTGAGTGTATTGGCTGTTTAAAATAAGGGATTCGACCAAATTGCGAAGAAATTTGATCTTTTTAAAATGAGCCGCCACGTAATAGCCATCAAGCTTGGAATGCAGACGTCTGTAGACAATGCCCTTTCCGCAGACAGCAGACAGCACCTTGCAGACATCCTGCGGTCTGCAGACAGCAGAAAAATAAAACAAAAGAGAAAAGAAAAAAATGAAAATGAACACGAAACGCTTGAAAAATTTCGTGTGAAAAGTCCAAACGGGTAGAGTATTTTACTCATTTACCCTGCTGAAACCCCTATTAAAACACATGTTTACATTCTACAACACCGACGCGTGTATCGGGAGAAAACAAATCGAAAAGTTGAGATTAACTTTGAAAAAAAATTCATGAATGAACCCCTTGATAAAGTGGGGCTAAACTTAACCAAAGGCTGCGAACTTTAAAGTTGCCAGAGTGCGAACCTTCAGGGTTGCGAAGGGTGTGAACTTTAGGACTTGCCCACCGCACATACGCTCATGCCCCCCATGTCCCTCATGCCCCCTCGATTGTATAGAGATTGTATCAAAATAATCTCAAGCACCACAAACAAATGATTTCTACGTTGTTTTCTACAAAAGTATGCCATTTTATGGGATCTAGAGTTATTTTTTTATTTTCGTTAAGATTTGGATCTTTCGGCTCCAGCACAGCTAACTACCCTTCCCTGACACCTTCGGCTTCCGGTGCCATATAGCCCCGCAAATCTAGCATTTTTCAGTTCTTCCGTTGGCGGGGCATCACGACCCAATAATAGCGTCAACTACGTTACGCGCATGAATTTGGTTTAGCCAAAAGCCCTAGGAGACAGTATCGAAAACCATACGGATTAAGAACTCTCCCTCTTACAGTACGTACTTTAAAGAGTGCGTGCCAAAATTGTCTGTTCCAAGTTTGATGGCCATATCCTCGTTTTTCGGTGGTCTTAATCAAACCGATGCTTGGATTATGTGGGGATCAAAAAATTGCCTTCAGCATTTGTGTCAAGTTCAATTAGATGTACATAAATGCTGTTGTGCTCATTTCCATGAAAATTTATCAGTTTCTAGAGATACGCAAAAATAAGCACCATCATGAGCTAGTTTCTAACCTAATGCAATTTTTTCAGCACTAATGCTACTGGTACAACTTGGAGCTTCAGCGCCAAATGTATTTGGGTGAGCGTCGGGCAAGATTCCATGTGCAGAGGACAAGTTTATATCTATAATTTTTAAGTATTTTCGAAATCAACAAAGGCTTTTCACTCCAAAAGCTGCCTCTGAAACAACTAGAAGCCGAGGGATACATCAGCACTTTAGTTGTGGTGGAATGCGATTGGGTCCTACACGAATGAGAGCGGTTTCTTGCTGACTATCGAGGAAGATTCTACAACAACTCCCGGTGCCATCTATTACCTCGGCATCTCGGAACCGACCGTTGCTTTTCATGCCGCTGACGTTTATGAACTTTCTGGTTTTTTTCTATTTTTTTTTTATGGCAATTGGGGGGAGGGCAAAAACTTAGGTATACTTTGGAGCCTGATATTCGGCGATTTTGAAAAGAAAAGATATCAGACTTGTAGATAGCTCAATTTAAAGCTCTGATCATGCTGTCTTTTAGCAAAATCAAAGTCAGTTTACGTCGAGGCTGCGGAGAATTCCTCACTGAGTTTGGAGTTTGTGTATGCCTGCATGAAAGAAGAGGTGAGGTTTTTAGAAATGCTAGAAGAATACCCTATCAAATATGGAGTATTCAGACAGGAATGTGTATACATCGTCTGCCTTTTTTTCTGAATCAGGAGAACGCCGTTATTGCGTGCAACGAAAGGTTGTTGACCAACCGTTACAATCAAGCTAATCGCTTGTCACCTATAGCTTTTCCATCACTTCCGGTCACATCATGAGCTGCAAAACGGATCTTATTGGTTCGAGTTTGGAGCTTCTTTGGGACATCGGAGCAGAACAACAACTTTTCTTTAGCCCTAGCGGAGCATTTCTCGTCTCAATCACTCAATATATAGGCGAGTTTCCAAAAGTTCCTTATTCCCTTATTCTCCAGGTCAACTTTCGTGTTTTTTAGCGGATCAACAGATAATAACTCTGCCGGGTGGATTTGAAGAGATTCGCGTAAATGCTACCAAAACCCCGATATGGATCACTTTAATTTTTGATGGCAATCCACAAATTTTGACAAAACTCTACTCGGTAGTTTTGCTTGCAAGAGCACCAAAATTGACCATTTATTCAGGAACCGATCAAAACTGCATGCCAATATGATCTTATGCTTTTATCATATCGTCCGAAGCCCACTGATCCCGCCTATCATCTGATGACGTTCAGGTCGGGTGTGAGCGTGTGCCCAACTTATGACACATATTCAGTGAATCGGTGCCATTTTACGAACAATACCTCCTCAACAGGGTCTATACTGTGGAAATCCCGGTCGACTGCTCACCGAGATTAGCCGTAGCGCAGAGGATTGAGAAAGGCATTTGTTTTGTTTTTTAGTCTTCATCTTGTTATTGGGTTGGGGAGAATGCGTCGGCGCCGAAAATCAAAAAAATGTCTAAAACTTCTAGCAGACTTCGTCAAATAATATGCGTTTGATATCAGTAGAATGGTTAACTAATTCTCTACAAAATGACATTTAAAAGAAAATTCAAACAGCGCCTCCGCTCAAGAAAAAGCCATTTTTTCACAAAAACTACAAACTGTCACCTAGAAAAAACCATTGGTGGGATCTTCCTGCAAATTTGGCAACTTAAGTAATTGAATGTGCTCTATCTTTTTTATATAAACACCAAAGAAGGTTTATGTGAAAGAAACTGTTCAAATGATGAGTCGGACTCTTTGCCATTTTAACCAGCGGCGTTTGGAAGTTCATAAACTCCACGAAAGAAAAGCTTTGTGGAATCTCTCAAAAGTCATTTTGTAGAGAAATAGTGGATCCTTTTGATGAAACCAAACGTATGTTTAAAGAAGGCTTTATGTGTGCAAAAAGTCCCTTTAAAGTTTGGCGCCGACTCATTCTCCCCAACCCAATATTATTTAGGTTGTGCCGAGTTTCACTACTAGGTAATAAACATAGCCCCTGGTGTAGTGACAAGCACTAAACAACTTTATTTAAATAACAGAATGATCTCCTCGGATTGTAGGTTTAGGATAAGTAGATCTAAAGTATGTGAGACATTATGGAGAAGACTGTTTCTTTAGATCTGCATTGTTATTACTCAGAAGTTGTCGGCTTAGTACGTTTTATTATATTGAGACATGAAAGTACCTCCAACAAATATTAGGGAGGAGTCGGGGGAAGACATAACTCAGTGAGCGTCCCAAAGGGTGACGGAGCATCAGACTGATCTAAGCAGGGTCTAGTCAAAAGGGCTCTTCTTTCCTCTGGACGTGTTGGAGTCTCATCTCGGCGCCCTAAGGGGATCCCCTACAATTCTAGCAAAAGTTCTTTTTACAGATTTCAACATTGACGATGAGGTATCTAATTGTGAGGGGGAAAGAATCATTGCCACGCCCGGCTACATGGTCTCTGGTGATCCGTTCGAGAAGGGTCACACCCTCACGTATCGGCTATCGTGCAGTAAGAGTTGGAAGGCTTAAAGAAAGAACTTTTCGGAATTTTGGATGGTTCTTTGTTTAATGTGAAAGCCGAAGTGATGAATTTCATCGACGGAAACCTTACGATTGAAGCAAGGGATTACCAAAACCTAATAATAGCCAATGAGAGGTATGAATCATTCTTCATACCGCTCGGTAATAGACCTTATTTTAGAATTGATAACTCGTCCAACATGACACTGGCCAATATCACTAATTTTAACGTCAGTACAAGGCTTATTTGTCTTTCGAATGGATAATTTCAGCTGAACTGGACTCCGTACAACGTCACTCAACATCGAGGCGCTCTTGTTATGGTTCAAATAGAGAAAGGCGCGCTGCTTAAGGCTTATATTACTAATCGTAACAACATTTAGCGTCCGATGGAAATGTTGTGGAGAAAAGCAGCTCTAAACCATTCGTCAAGTGGATTTTGTTGGGCTTTGGCGTATTTGTCCTCTTGGCAGTCGTAGCTGGAATTGGCTCTTTTATCAGAATAAGAAAAGCGTAAAGTTTTGGAAGCTATAGGCAGTGCTTATATGTAGATGTTGACCAGAAATAACATGAACAAACTTTTTTCGATTCTTCCACGCACAAAAAGTCCCCAAGGTTCAAGTGTTATACATCATTTTGAAGCTAAACGTTCCCTCCTTCTAATGAGGCAAAGCATTTGTGTTGAATACTGAAGTGTGTCGACCGACTCATCAAAAAATTGAGGAATATAAGGATTCAAAACAAATGCTTTGCCTCATTAGAAAGAGGGAATTCTCAGCTTCGAAATTATGTATAACACTTTAACTTTAGGTAAATTTTTGTGTAGCTAAGCACTTGTTCAAAACAATTTTGACCACGTTATTTCTTGTCATCCTATTTGTACCACGCTGAAGTTTGTATTCGCTATCGGCAAAATGAAAGTTTATAGGTTTCGTGAAATGTTTAACCATGGCGTGCTTCTTGGACACTTTCGTGACAACATGGATAGAGTAACAGAAGCACAGAAAAGCTTTAATCTTTTTTTTGCTTAGAAGCAAGAATACACTCCCTCACAAGTCGACGAGATATGGGAGGTATCGGCAAGGAGTTTGCTCGTTTTCGATGAGAAGCTGGGCACCGGCGCGTACGCGGTCGTCTATCGAGGATACCTCAAAGATATGCCACCAGTCGTCAAGATCTATCCATCACTACAGGTATTATCACCCTGTTTATGTTTTTTTTTATTCTTTTGACCGTTCGTTTTTTGACTTTTACCCGATTTTGCAGTTTTTATTCTCCCGATTTTGTATTAATTTTGAAGCTTATGACTGGGGAAAAATTATAAAAATGTAAACTAATAGTAAGCATACTCCGTCCGCAACCTGAAGTTTTGAGGTCTCGTTCTTCCTTAAAAACGATGGTAACGATGTGGCGGTGAAATCTCCGCATGAACAAGCGACACACACAGACAGGTTTTTTAAAAATGTGTTGTTTATTTTTATTGTGTAAATTTAGAGAAGAGTTCTTGGCGGAGATCGAATTTATGAAACAGTTGCCCTTCCATCCGCATCTTCTCTCGCTTGTCGGCTGCTCGACGAATCCCGAATATCCGTTGATTGTGACGGGCATCTGTGAACTCGGCGCTTTACTCTCACTCCTCCGACAAATGGATCCGGAACATTCGGAACATCAAGTAAAGCTATTTACTTATGGAAAACAATAGAAATACAGTGCCCACGGTTTAGTAAATAATCTCTTTAAGCTTTATAGGAGTCGCCTCTCAAATTCGACGATCTAGTCCCAATTGGTTGGCAAATCAGTGACGCGCTGGTTTGTGAATGCCTTGAATTTTTTCTCTAAACCAAAAAGGTTTTGAGGTTTTCCTCTCAGCCAAAGAGATTGTTCATCGAGATGTGGCCGCCAGAAATGTGCTCGTCACAAAAACAAAAACGGCTAAGGTTTCAGTGCAAAAAAACTCTACCAAATTCCTTTCAGCTCTCGGATTTCGGACTTTGTCGCTTCCAAAAGACCTGGTACCAGGAATGCGTGATGGAAAGTTTCCGCTCAAATGGATGGCACCCGAAGCAATCGAATTTGCCGATTTCTCGACGGAGAGCGATGTGTGAGTGTCAAGAGCCAGAACATAAAAAGTGCATTGGAAATAAAGTTTTCAGTTGGTCATTTGGTGTTCTCCTCTACGAGATGTACAGTTTTGGGGAATCGCCGTGGTCTGACGTGGAACCAGAAGACTTATTACCTGCATTCAAAAGAGGCCAACGACTAGCGATTTCATCAACAGCTCCCGCTTTGATGTTTGTGCTGCAAACTTTTTGCTATTTCTACGATAAAAGACAAAGAAGTGTCGTTCCCTTTTGAGGAAATGAAAGAGAAACAAAACAAACCTCAAATCCAAACTGTCAAAAATTTTTAGTGATAGATGACAGTACGCTACTTTGCAATGGGATCATAAATACAATTAGTGCTCCACTACGACGCTTCCTTACACTGTGGACTGCCAAATTTAACCCAATTTTCAGTCAGAAAGTGTCCGCGTCTTGTTGGGAGAAGTCCACCAGCGATCGACCTCAATTCGAAGATATTCGAGGGCAATTTTATAAGGAGATGGAGATGCACTCGGAATTGTACGGCTATTTAGATATCAGGTTTGGATCGATTGTTTTCGAAAAGCTTTTCACACAAAACTCGTGTACAGCAAGCGGTACTATCCTCTTCCGACGACTACTTTTGAGCCCATTGAGAATTTGTCGGATCCCTGCCCGAATGATGCGACATTTCAATGATGCGACATTTCAAGAGCATTGAAACTTTTTCTTTGTTTTCATTGTTTGTGTAATGGTTGTTTTCTTACATTTTTAAAACTTTGTTTGCTTTTGCTATCTTATCAAAAGAATTTATCACTTTGCTATGGATTTTGGTCGCAAATACTAACACCAACTATTTCGTAACAGAAAATCACGGTGGGGAGGTGATGTCAGAGCAGGAGGAAAACATCACTAAAAGATAGTTACGGTGAAAGGAAATAGGCTGAATGATTTTTATAATATTAAATCAAGTGGTGTCAATAGCTATAAACCGGAAATATACAATTACATTACCGATCAAATTCATCGCCAAGCTGAGAATAAAAAGAAAGAAATGCGTTTTTTTGTTTCTCTTCAAAATAACTGAGCGAAAGATCCTTTTGGAGGCTTATTCGATTTGATAAATATTAACAACAAGCTCTTATTTTGGAGAGGAATAGCGATAAAAAGAAATTCAGACGAAAATAGGCTCCACGCTAAAATGAAATGTTTCTGGTAGAAACTTTAAGACATGTACATGCACATCTTTTCGTACTTTCGTGTAACAATACCGTTTTGCACAGTTACATTCACCGTTATTCTGCGCCAAGTACAAACTTTTCGAACCCATCTGATCGGTCAACAAAAAACATCATAACTTTTCTCTACAAGGGCATGAAAGTGTGGTATCACTTTCTTTTCTCATCTTTCTTTCTTATCTTCATCTTTCTTGGGTTATCATTGAAAAATTTGCTTTAGCTAGAAGCAAGCTTGCCGAAGCCCGGGATGTAAAAAGATACACGTTTTAAAATTTTAGACTTTCTTTTGCACCGGACTTCAGGACTTCAGGAACGTACTGAATCTCCAACCAGGCCGAGCTGCTATGGTTGTACAGAAATGGATTTCTTTTTCTGTATTTCTGTACTCAATTAGAGCAATTCAAAATTTCAAGACCAGACCATACTGCTTCTTGACTATTGTTAAACTTCATTTCAATTTTTCAATTTCAATTTCTTATTTGACTTTCAAATGTAAATCAAAGGAGTGTTTCCGTAAGCTCTGGTTTTTTCTAATTGTAAGCTCGTGATATATGCATTTTATTATAGATAATTAAAAACTTCCTGCTTACCTTGCAGAATAACGTATGTTTCGCCTCCATTCCCCTTTGTGTTTCCTCGTAGGTAGCTATTTCAAAGAAGCCACACACAAAGAAGCTAAAATGTAAAAATTGAAACTGCCTCCTAATGAAAGAATTTGGAAGAAAAGAAAAAAGGAAAAAAGAAATTTTTTAGAAAATGGAGGTCCAATGAGCATCTTTATTGGGTAAGGTATTTGATTGAGCTCTTTTTGAATAAGGTCTGGAAGGTGTGCTAAAAATTGTCAATAATTTCCCCCAAGAGCTCGGCTTTTGGCTTTGGCAATTGACAATAGTAATTGTTGTGAGTTTTTCAAAATTGGCGCTCTCATTCTCTCGTTTGATCACCACCAAATCCTAAGCAGAAGATCTCGAGACAAACTCGACAAACTCTTCTTTCATTTCACCCGTGAGATCAGAAGTCCTTACAAACAACGACGAAACAAATTATTGTTACTTATTGATTATTTAGAGAGAATTTATGTTGTTAACACAATCATTGTTACATGTCGATCTTGTCGCATGTTGCTGTCGACCTTTCGTCAATTGCTTGTTTGTTTCGAGCTTTTTACTGAGACACCCAATCTTTTACTTGTAAGAGACTCCTGTTTTGCAAACAGATTTATCAAAAAAGAAATTGGTATCTAATTGACGACTTATTTGTCGCATTTTCTTGGTTTCCTCAAATGCACCAGCCACATGTGCGGGCACATTGGTTGCGCTTATGGTAGCACGTCATCGCCGTATGGGAACCGAAAGAGTGTTGATAGCAACTAAATAAAAATTTTATATATGCGGTTCGTAACAAGGTTTGTTTACTTAGAGACTCTACTAGAAGAGTGTCATAAGAAATATCAGAACCATTTCGTGGCCATCACTCACTCGGTCTTGTTGGTGGTGTCATGGCAATAACACTCGTTGACTCCACCGACGCGGTAGCAAGCATAGTCTTCTGGACAACGTCCCGCCGTTGCACCTAAATAGACCGATATCACAAAGTACTAATCGGCAACCCTGTAAAATACTTGTGATTCTGGGATTCTAGGTTCTAGGTCGGCACTGTGCACAGTTTACGTTTCTAGTCTTTTTAAGCGTCGAAACTTCTAACTAGAATACTTGGGTTTTAGAGGCATCCGTTAGAAAATTCATATACTAGAAGAATACAGGCACTGTATGTGGTTCATTTTCTAAAGCCATAGGACCCATGTATTTTTAAATGAACTAGAACTGCGCCCAAATGCTTTACCCTCTAGACTCAAGCAATCTCTATCCAAGAAATTGCTATTCAAGAACTTTGAAAAACGATGAAACAAGATCATGAGTCTCGAATTAGAATCCTCAATCAAGTATAATACTACACAGAGGTTTTCTCCCTACTCGTATAATGAAACGTACGACTGGTTGGCGGCACGGTGACATAGTCGGGCTTTGGTGCACATTCACCCTCCTTATAATAGCAATTGTTGAGCGTTCCATCAAAGTAGCAGTTGCCGCCCTCGCTGCACACTAACTTGTTGTCGTCGTACTGCTCGTGGCGAGCCTCTGCAAAAAATTTTAGGCTTAAGTGCAGAAATGGGGCTTTCTTGGTTCACTACTGAAATTTAGAAAAAAAGCGGAGAGTTTTTGCAATTCAAAAGTGGAAATGAGTTTATACATATATATGTCCGCATCCGACCTAATTCTTTCTCCTGCAAGTTTTTTCAAATGTAGTTTCACTTTAAGAAACTACTCGCCGAGATCTACTAGATCCTACCAGCCATTCAAAGTAGACATAGGTAAGTTTAGGTCGAATTCCGGCAAACATGTAAAAAGATAATAAATGAAAAAGAGGTATCGCAATTAAATATATAAGAGTAGAACTAACCGCCGTATGGCTGCCAGGTGACACTCGCCGGCAACGGGGGGGCAATCGGCCATTGCTTCCTTAAGAAATAAAACGTGGATTTAGCTGCTGTTTACTCTTTTAAACTTATTCTTAGGTCGGACCAGACTGACCCAACGAAACTTTATCCAAAACTCTTCAGAAAACTTTCCAAACATTGGGCCACGCCAAAGCCAAATCCAAGAAAGAAAGGAGTGTTGCTTGGCTTTTTAGTTCTTTTTAGGTTTTGTATACGGATTCGAATATCCAACCTCCGACATGTAGCACTGATTCATCGATCCATCATAATAGCAATGGAGTCCTTTCTTACACTTGATTCCCGCTACACTGCCATACGCATCGTAATAGGCAGCTGAAAGGGATCGGCCGTTTTTTGCTTAAAAATTACTAACGCTCTTCCGGAGCCCAGGTGATGGTGGCGGGTAAATCAGGGCAAAACGGCTCGTAGTCCTGAAAATTTTATGCTATACAACAACAAATTGGTGATATCGTGGAGTTAACCTTGGTCGGATAGCATTGATTCTTCGTGCCGTCAAAGTAGCAATTCAGCATACAACAGGGGCATCGATAGCCGCCATAGTCACTTTCCGTGGCTTCTGCAAAGTTTTTTGTGTTCTTTTTGGGAAAACCACGGGCAATGAACAAATTTGTTCTTTAAGTTCTGTTGGGATTCGATAAGCTATATTCTATATCCTAGCAGAAAAAAAGGAAATAGTCCAAGTGAGTAAAAAAAGTCGAACCTTGAACTGGCGGCCAGGTGACATTGGCTGGCACGGTCTGGCAGTTCCCCGCCAATGCCTGAAAAGATTTTGTGAAACAGTTTTAACTACTTTCAACGGTTTTTGCTTTGCCATTCCTCTCGGCCAATCAATTGACATACGCCCCTTTAAATTCTAGAGATCCTTAGAAAAGGGTCAATTGGGGAGTAATCTGGATTCAAAATTTAAAGAAACCTGATGGACGATGGAGCTCAGAAGGAAGAGAATTGTAATCGACATCTTTTTGGTGCTCGACTTCGGGGTATCTTTCCACATCACATCGCCTCCCTTTTATACTCGATTTCAAGCCCAAAAACCCCGAACGTGAAAGGTTTCAGTATTTTGTGATTTTTCGATTAAATTTCAACCAAAACGTGGCTCTTGCCTTTCTATTCAACCTTTTGATCTCCTTTTTGATCTCTTGAATACGAACTGAAAATAGGGATTCATTCCGTGAACTTAGAAATTAAAAATTGTACTGTAAATGTAAATGTCATTCCATGTATTCCACAATTTTTGATCACCTTTCGATCAAAATCGTGCGAATTCATCCCGATTTCTTGATTACTTTTTTTGATCTATTCAGCAAACGAATTGAATGGTGAAGAGATTAATCCGAGAATAGCCTCGATTCAGTTCAGGTCTCTGATCATTTGAATGTCTGGGATTGAATGACATCAAGCACAGGGGCGACTTCGACGAAGGCTATATGCTGGACGTGGTTAGTGTTTCGAGGTTGCCATGATAACTTTTCAATTATTAATTAAAGTAAATAATTTCTTCTTAGATGATCTTTTCAGATGATTGTTAGCTTGTGTATTCTGCATTGAATCTTTAGCTAATCCTTGCTTTCCCTCACTTTCGACTTTCTGTTTTCCCTGTTCAATTCTGATAATTCTGGAGGCTCAACACTTTTTAACAATAACAATTTCCATCGAGAATGCACACCCTTCAAGTTGTTATTTGCCTAAGTTCAGTTGATAATTTTTTAAGGTATTTACGATTACTAAAGTAAGTGACTTATGTAAATGTGGTGTGGGAAAACACGGAATTTTGGAAATAAAATAACAACTTTGGATAAACAACAAAGTAAGCAGTAAAAGCTTTATTAACCTAGAACTTCTCATCATCCACATCCTCCCCCAGGAATCCTCAGCGGCCTCGGAAGTCTGCCCAGAAGTGTATAGTACCGCTTGCTGAAATTCTAGTGTTTACATTCTAACATCTTTTGATGCCAGCCAGCCAACCAGACATCCAAGTAGCCGTACAACTCTGCGTGGTCCTCCATTTCTTTATAAAAACGCTCTCGAATATCTTCGAATCGAGGTCGATCTTCGGGGTTTTCCTCCCAGCAAGTCGCTGACGTTTTCAGGCTAAAATTTCTTGGATAAACTCTTCAAGCATCTTAGACTAAAGCCAAACTCCCTTTTTAGTAGAATTATCAACCAGGAGTTTTTTTTCTTTAGTTTGAACAGAAAAAAAAGAAAATGGATGAAATCATGGAAAAAAGAACAATCGGAAATCCTCTTTTGCTACCGAACAATGGGAAGTCCAAAAAGCACAAACATGAATTCGGGTGCTGTGAATGGAATTTTCAGCCGTTTTCCTTCCTTCAAAGTGGCAACAATTCGGCGGGTTCAACGTCAGACCACGGAGATTTCCCGTAGTTGTACATCTCGTAGAGTAACACCCCAAATGACCAACTGAAAGCGAAAAATTAGTCTCAACCTCTAGCATACTGCAAAAACTCTTTGATAGTTTATGGATTGTTTTTCCCTTCTGATAATGCATTTCATTTACACATTGGTATGCTTTAAATGACTTTGGATACAACATCTCGATATTTTAACTATACAGTCAAAACTCTTTAGTAAACAAACCTCATAGTAACTTCTACGGCTTTTTTTTTTCAAGTCGAATGTTGGTTAATCCTAGATGACAAGATTCGTGGCTCCGATATCGAGCTTTTTTCTAGATGCCTTCGAGAACTTACAATTGTGTTTTCAAGTTGTTATTATGAGAGTGGGGGAAACACGATGACTCATAGCAGAGCTTAATATTTAAATTTTCAAATCAAGCTTCTGGGGCTTTCCTATAGTTGACCGCTTTTAGAATTTTACCCCTTTTATTTCTAACATTCAGTGAAAAATAGCCCAAAATTTGGTTATTCGTAAAACTCTCGTATTAAGTCTTAAAACACTCCGACAAAGTCCAGCTTCCACTGACGAAAACAATAACGAATCTTATTACAATATTTTTCGTGCTCTTTCACACTTACACATCGCACTCCGGCGAGAAATCGGCGAATTCGATTGCTTCGGGCGCCATCCATTTGATTGGGAATTTCCCGTCACGTACACCTGCCACCATATCTTTTTGGAAGCGGCAAAGACCAAAATCGGAAAAGCTGAAAATGGATTTGAGAGCAACAATGGTTTTGCCCCTTTCAAACAAAACCTAAGCTGTTTTGTCTTTTGTGACAAGCACATTCCTGGCAGCCACATCTCGATGAACGATTTCTTTTGCAGAAAGGAAAACCTTAATATTTGCGTATTCAAAGAGAACTCCAAGAAAATTCAACCAGCGCGTCACTTATTGCCAACCGATCGGGACAAGGTCGTCGAACTCGAGTGGTGATTCCTGGAAAGAGGATTGAAGTGAGTTTTTTTGGATAAATATTTTCAATCAGCACAAATTTGGATTCTTTTTATTAGTTTTACAAATTCAAGACTGTTTCCTAAAGCTTACAACTGATTCAAGATCTTGATATAATGGGTGCTAGACATGAGATGATTCCATTTAAACGACTATCAGCTTTGTCCGATTAGCGGATCTGCCGGATCGGATCGGATAGTTATCCGATCGGAATCCGATCTGGATCCCATGTCTACTGGGAAAGAAAATAGTTTTACAATGAAACGATAGCAAAAACCAAATACAAAATTATTCAGATTACTACCCAAAGTTTAGGAAATAGTCCCAGGAATGGATATGTGCATGGACCGATTTTTCATTGGATCGATCGATCCCATTGGCGGGTCTGTAGTAGATTGGGTCGGATAGTTAGCCGATCGAAATCCGATCCGGATCCCATGTCTAATGGCTGCCGTGTTAATAAGGTGTCCAATTCTTGGTCCAACCAACTCCCGCTCCTCGCACTCATATTTCAGGTGTTCCCGATCCATTTGTCGGAGGAGTGAGAGTAAAGCGCCGAGTTCCACAAATGCCCGTCACAATCAACGGATAGTCGGGATTTGTCGAGCAAGCCGACAAGCGAGAGAATATGCATTTGGAAGGGCAACTGTTTCATAAATTCGATCTCCGCCAAGAACTCTTCTCTAAATTTACACAATAAAAATAAACAACACATTTTTAAAAAACCTGTCTCGTGTGTCACTTGTTCATGCGGAGATTTCACTGCCACATCGTTACCCATCGTTTCCCAGAAAATAGGAAAGCTGTAAAGTTGGGAACCAATGTTCATTGGAGAGCTTTCTACTGAGTGTCTCAAAATTATTCGGAACAGTGCCATATTACAGTATTAAAGCCGTCCTTAAAAAAACTCGTACACATTTTTCATAATGTTAATCTCCTCATCAAACAAAAAAGAACGCAAAAAAAACAGACGATTAAGAAACGAAATCTGAACGGCCATTTGACTTCCAAAAGGTCACGTTTTTGCAGTTTTGCAGTTGCAGTTGCAGCGCCTTTGCAAAATGGCGAAATAAAATGGAATTAAACTAAAACCAGGTGTCTGTTGTATGCAAATGAGTCAACGAGTGGCTTAGCAGAAAAGTACCCAATTCTCATAGAGTAAATAATCAAGCTGCAATTCTTGATTTAAAGAAGAATTTGTTTAAAACCCGGCTCTTTTATCGTTCCGAGTGATTTTTAGACACCGTGTATATAGCTACGGTAGTCTCACCTGTAGCGATGGATAAATCCCTGGCGACTGGGGGTATCCCTTCAAGGTATCCCCGGCGCAGATCGCTGAAGCTCCGGCTCCGAGTCTTCCCTCGAATATCCGCAATTCTCGCGCCGACGCCTCCCACACGTCGCCGCTTTGCTGTGGGAAAAGGGGCAGAGCAAGTATGTGCTCTAATACCCCCTAAACGCGTAAATTCGAAAGTAGACTTGAGCTGTTGGAGCCTATATAGACCCCGAACACTTGTTTTTGAAACAAAAAACCGATTTTGATTGTATATAAGAAAACAGAAACGGAAATGAAAAGTAGCAATTGAAACAGAAACGGGTTGAGACCGGGCTCAATAAGGGCTCGGGATCGATAAGGGCGCCGACAGCTCAAGTCTCTCGAAAGTGAAAGCTTGTTCTCGGCCATTATTACTCTGCCCGAGGTCGCCTGGAAACGTCTGAAGCTCCTCATGAGTTTGTCAGGATAACTCGAAATTTCCATTATAAGTGCAAAAAAATACAAATTACAACGTTTTTTTATCCAGATAACGCATCCGGTTGCAATCGAAATCGTCGGAACTCCAAATATGCCAACACCCAACCAAATCCATATGAGAATGTGCAGAACTCTTTAGTCCCCATCAGTATCTTTAGTAGGCACTCAAATATATGTTTTATAACATTAAGAGGTCTGAGCCATAACTTATCTCATAACGTTCTAACACAGTACTTATTTACGGTAACCAGTTTTGGGTATCTTTATTACGTTATATCGAGGTTTCCATGTTTGACGAGTTGCTAAGCATATTGGGGTTCGACTGTATGCTGAACCAACCGTTTTCCCTCAATTCGAACCATCACGTGGGCACCCTGCCGCTGAGTGGACTCGTTGGGAGCCCAGTTCAACTGTAATCATCTACTTGAAAGCAAATTAAATTCACTTACAATAAAATTGCTGATCCGACCTAGTGTAAAGTTGGTCATTAAACCAATGCTAAAACGTGGCCCAGTGCCTGCTTTCGTGAATGTAAAAAAGAGTCTTACCTCTCATTAGCCATGGTCTGATTCCTGCCCATCTTTTGTCCATTCCATAGGAGAGTTCTCCATCATAGAAATTCTTCACTTCCACTTCCAAGTTCAATAGTAAGGAAGTACCGAAAAACCGTAGTTCTCGCTATTAATAGATTGATCTACTGGTTTTCCGTGACCCCCTGGACCACTCGACTATTAGAGACAACATATGAATAATGACGTTCAATATTAATAATCGATAATGACGATCGAAGTGGACGCATTCCCCTTCAACTACTCCAAATTCATCAAAACAA